GCTCTTCTGTCTCCTGTAAAGACAGTGGGCATGGATTTAGAGGTGACCGTGGCAATCTAGGATGGTCTCAACTCAAGATCATTAACTTGATTGTATCTACAAAGACTCTCCAAACTGGGTCACGTTTCACAGGTTTCAGAGATTAGGACATAGATATTTTTTAAGGAGGACAGTGGTTATTCAACCCATTACAATACCAAACTATGACTATGAATTTGCCTGTCTTTCTTCTTTTTTCTAGCAATCTTTACTTTATGTATTTTAAACATGTTATTAAACACATGAAATTTTTGGTTTATTCTATCTTTCTGCTGAATTGACTATTTTATCATAATGAAATGTCTCTCTTTACCTCTTATAATACTTCTTGCCTTAAAATCCACTTTGTACATTAATATAGCTATACAGGCTTTCTTTCTTACTTTCTTTGTCTTATATTTGAAGCTTGTCTCTTGTAAACATCATATAGTAAAGTTTTGTTGTTTTATTCAGCCTTTGTTGTTCATTAGTGTTTGAAACATTTAAATTTAATAATAAAAATTAAAGTTAAAATTAAAAATACATAAATAAATAAATTTAATCTAGTTACTGATAAGTCTAACTCTTGGTTATTTGTTTTCTATTTGTTTCATGTGTTTGTTCTTTTATTCCTCATTTCTCACATTTTTGAATTCATCAAGAATTTTTATTATTCTATTTTCCCCAGTAGCTTTTAAGTTATATTTCATTTTTTATTCTTAAATGAATACTCTAGAGATAGACATCCTTGATTTACTATAGTCTACTAAAATTGTGCTTTTACCTTTCTCCAAACAATGCAAGTACCCAAACTATTAATATTTAATTCCATTTGTGTCCTCTCCCTCTTTTTGTATTGTTGTCATACATTTTCCAGAAAGAAAAGCTTCAGCTGAATTAAATTTAACAGAGTTTAATTCAGTAACGAACGATTCACAAATCAGGCAGCCTCCTGAGCCACAGTAGGCCAGAGACTCCTGCCCAGCTGCGTGGTGGAAGAGGATTTATGAACAGAAAAAGGAAAGTGACGCACAGAAAACAGAAGTGAGGTACAGAAACAGCCGGATTGGTTATAGCTCAGCATTTGCCTTATTTGAAGACAGTTCAAACAGTTGGCCACATTTGATTGGCCAAAACTCAATGATTGGCATAAGCGTAGTCTATGGTCTGTTTACATCTTCTTGTTACAGTTTGCAGTGTACAGAGAAACCTTTAGGCTGAGCTTAAACTATGTAAGGCTTTAGGCTACACTTGATTTAACAATTTACATATATTCTATATTTCAAAGGCATAATTGTTGTTGTCTTTATAAAAACAGTCTCTATTTATATTTACACGGTAGTGAATTCTTATAATTTTTATGTTGCCTCAGCATCCATTTAGAATATGTTTAGCTTTCTCATGCCAGAAGCAGAGCTTAGTCACCCTTATTGCCCTTTCTAGTTCTGTACCTCCTCCCAGTTTTCAACGTGGTCGAGCCAGATATCTGCCTTATAAAACTGCCTTCTGGTGACCACCTCTCTATGGGACAGCTAGATAAAACCTACTTGACTCGCATCCCTGACCTCTGTGCCCTGCGTGGACTTCGCAGATATGCTGCCATGACCACCTCTCAGTCGCAGCATGCCTCCCTGGAACATGTGCCTGCTTTCTTTAAACTCACTAGTTAGAACTCCCCATGGGAGATACCTGCTGGGTCATACTCTGGTCCCCAATAAAGGTGTCGGCCGATGTGTCCCCTTCTCTCTTTGTCTCTCCATTCCTTGCACTGACCAACCTTTCTGTGATCTTCAGGCATGGCGTGTACCCTCAGGCCATAATAAAATCTTTACTTCCATCTTGTGTTTCTTCTAATCACTGTAGAGGTTCTATCATAAAGATCCTAAATGAAAACATACCCGCATATAAGCTCTTTCTGGTGTGTTTCCTTCTTACTGCAATTCTATAAATTCTATATGAAACTATTTTCCTTCGGTCTGAAAAAGTCTCTTTGGCATTTTTGTTTTGTAGATCTTCTGACAACAAATTCTTTAAACATTTTTCTAACTGTGGTTCCTTCGAAGGTTATTGTTGATGTTTCCTGCTGCTTTTAAAATGGATTACACTTTAAAATAGATTTTTTTTTACAATATTACTATGTTGTGTCTGGGTAAGTATTTCTTTGTATTGCTTGGGTTTATATAGGTGTTTTTTTTTTTTTTTTTTTTTTTGAGATGGAGTTTCAATCTCATCACACAGACTGGAGTGCAGTGGCGCGATCTTGGCTGACTGCAACCTCTACCTCCAGAGTCAAGCAATCGTCCCACCTCCGCCACCTCAGTAGCTGGGATTACAGGCCTGTGCCACTGTGCCTGGCTAATTTTTGTATTTTTAGTAGAGACGGGGTTTCGACATGTTGGCCAGGCTGGTCTCAAACTCCTGACCTCAGGTGATCTGCCCACTTGGGCCACTCAAAGTGCTAGGATTGCAGGCATGAGCCACCATGCCAGGCCTGTATAACTTTTTGAATCTGTAATCTTGCATCAGTCTTGGAAATTTCTCAGTTATTACTTCTTCAAATGCTTATATCTATTATCTCTCTCCTCTCATGACAGGACTTCACTTAAACACGCTAGGCTTTATTCTTCTATGTCTTGGTCTGTATGTTAACATACATTTAGGGGTTTTTGTGGACTAATAAATGACCACTTTTACACAGATATGTTATTGTATCAAATTTAGATTTGAGTAAATGAGTTGATAAGTTTTATATCTTTTGTATGTTGTGAAATATTGAAATTACATTTGGAAGCATATGTTACTTAAAAGTTCGATAGAACTTATTTTTTTTATTCTTCTTACATGTTTCTTGGGTAATTCTAGCTTTCTACATTTTTTTGAATGAATATTGGCAATTTATATTTCCATTTATATCATTTAGATTTTCAAAATATTTAACCCTCAGTAGTCTACAGTTTATTATAAATATTCTCATATCCATAACAATGTTTAAATTCTTTTTCCTACTGTGTATATTTGTGTCTTCTCTCTTCCCTTATAATTTATCTTTTAGTGAAGGTTTTTATATTTTGTTTTCCTAAAACAGCTAACCTCAGTTAATAACAAAAATGCAAATTAAGAAAGCAAATGGAAAAGAGTAGGAGAAAACGGTGTAAACTCTATAATACTATAATCAAAGAGTTATGTAAAATGAAAAGAATGTGGATTGAGTGAATACATGCATGCAAATATTATAGGAAATCACATAAGTAAGAAAGGCAGGACACATCATATTATGCCAACCGAAATTACAACTTTGTAAAAATGTACCTACATGTTAGCAAAGATTAAAAGCAAATAATGAATGTAAAAATAGTTACAGTTTAGTGACTCATGAGATTTTTGTCATTCATTATTTAAATTGACTGTTATGCTCTTCCTTTTCCCAGTAATTCCTTGTGGGCTACCCCCCACCATCGCCAATGGAGATTTCTATAGCACCAGCAGAGAGTATTTTCACTACGGATCAGTGGTGACCTACCGCTGCAATCTTGGAAGCGGAAGGAAAAAGCTGTTTGAGCTTGTGGGTGAGCCCTCCATATACTGCACCAGCAAAGATGACCAAGTGGGCATCTGGAGCGGCCCGGCCCCTCAGTGCATTATACCTAACAAATGTACACCTCCAAATGTGGAAAATGGAATATTGGTATCTGTCAACAGAAGCTTATTTTCCTTAAATGAAGTTGTGGAGTTTAGGTGTCAGCCTGGCTTTGTCATGAAAGGACACCCCCGTGTGCAATGCCAGGCCCTGAACAAATGGGAGCCAGAGTTACCAAGCTGCTCCAGGGGTGAGTCTGACTGAGGCCTAGAAGGTCCCTGCAAATGACATGCATTGCTGTTGGATCAGGAAATTAGTATTTGTTCAGGCGGAGGGATGTGTGGTGAGGAGGGTGGGAAAGTAATTTTGGGGGGAAGAAGCATGAAATTAAGAATCGGGGGTGTGCATGAACCCAGCATATGTGTCTTCATTTTAAAAAGCAAGACCTTAATTAGCCAGAAAAAAAGCTATTTTGGACTCACCTATTAATCAGTTCTCAGGGCAAAGTACCAGCTCCAATCTCTCTCAATTATATTGAAAAATTATATGGACTTTATAGTCAGCTGTGCCCTAAGCGCTTTATATACATTATCTCATTTATTGTTTGCAACAACACTGGCTTATTTAAGGCCTTGTGTTTTTGATGGCTCATCTTGTCTACTGATGCCACAATAGCTGGCTTAGCAGCTGAGTGGGAGGTGTTATGGCTGATACATAGGGACAGAGAAAGAGCTTACCATTCTTCTACCAACCCATGTTAGCCTTGTGCAACCACTGAACTGGGAAGACAAACAGATAAAGGGATATAAGGACGGATGTATTGAGGTAGGAGATTGGCAGGGCTTGTGTTCTGGTCACAATCCTGCTGACCAAAACAGAATCTGTCCTAGATAGGATGAAGTGAAAAAAACAGCAGGAACAGGCAGATGGCGATGAAAGCAATCGCTAGCTGCCCTCATATTCCCATCAGCACCATGACATTTTATAAATGCCATGGCAACGACCTGGAAGTTACCACCCCTTTCCAGGAAAGTTCCAAATAACACCCCCCTCAATTTGCATTGATATGCCCCTTAACTTACATGTAATTGGCGGGGCATGGTGGCTTATGCCTGTAATCCCAGCACTTTGGGAGGCTGAGATGGGCAGATCACCTGAGGTCAGGAGTTCAAGACCAACCTGCCCAACATGGTGAAACCCTGTCTCTAATAAAAACATAAAAATTACCTGGGTGAGGTGGCTCACACCTGAAATCTCATTAGGCTGAGGCAGGAGAATCACTTGAACCTGGGACACAGAGGTTGCAGTGAGCCAAGATCACACGACTGTGCTCCAGCCTGGGTGATAGAGTAAGGTATCACCTCAAAAAAACAACAACAAAAAAAACGCACACACACAAAACAGAAAGCAGTCGTTTACTATGGCCGATGATCTGGAGCAGCAGCCTCAAGGCTGGCTGAGTAACTGGCTGCCCACGTGGTGCCCCACTTCCATGTCTCAGCTGAAGAATGTGGAAGCCAGGATCCTCCAGTGTCTCCAGAATAAGTTCCTGGCCAGATATGTGTCCCTCCCAAACCAGAAGAAGATCTGGACAGTGACTGTGAGCCCCGAGCAAAAGGACCACACCCCCCTGGTGATGGTGCATGGTTTTGGGGGCGGTGTGGGCCTCTGGGTCCTCAACATGGACTCACTGAGTGCCCGCTGCACACTGCACACCTTCCATCTGCTTGGCTTCGGGCGATGCTCAAGGCCAGCATTCCCGAGGGACCCGGAGGGGGCTGAGGATGAGTTTGTGACATCGATAGAGATGTGGCGGGAGACCATGGGGATCCCCAGCATGACCCTCCTGGGGCACAGTTTGGGAGGATTCCTGGCCACTTCTTACTCAATCAAGTACCCTGATAGAGTTAAACACCTCATCCTGGTGGACTCATGGGGCTTTCCCCTCCGACCAACTAACCCCAGTGATATCCGTGCACCCCCAACCTGGGTCAAAGCTGTGGCATCTGTCCTAGGACATTCCAATCCATTGGCTGTTCTTCGAGTAGCTGGGCCCTGGGGGCCTGGCCTGGTGCAGCGATTCTCGCTGGATTCAAACGCAAGTTTGTAGACTTCTTTGAAGATGATACCATATCAGAGTATATCTACCACTGCAATGCACAGAATCCCAGTGGTGAGACGGTATTCAAAGCCATGATGGAGTCCTTTGGCTGGGCCCAGCGCCCTATGCTGGAGCGAATTCACTTGATTTGAAAAGGTGTGCCCATCACCATGATCTATGGGTCCAACACCTGGATAGATACCAGTACGGGAAAAAAGGTGAAGACGCAGCGGCCGGATTCCTATGTCGGAGACATGGAGATTGAGGGTGCATCTCACCACGTCTATGCTGACCAGCCACACATCTTCAATGCTGTGGTGGAGAAGATCTGCGACTCAGTTGACTGAGTCGCTCTCTGAAGAGGAAGAGGAGAAAGCCAGAGAGTCACTCTTGCCTCCCTGTCTGCTTACTCACCCACTCTGTCCTTTCCTCACCAACTAACATGTGCCAGCCAGGCAGTCTTAGGCTGTTCCCAGAACAGGACCACAGTGAAAAGAACACTCTTGATCCCACACTGAAGGCTGAAGGCAGAAGCCACAAGAGGCCTTCAGTGCCACCCCTGTGGAAGAACATCAAGGGTTGCACAATGTCACCCATCCACTTCTTGCCAAGTGTTACCCAGATGGTGGAGGATGTGAAGGGATTGCACCTAGCCACATTCACTCTCTCTGTGGCCTTTCTTCCTCTAGGCAAAGAAGGGCTTCCAGTGGCCTTTCCTAGCTCTGCAGTGTTTGTGGGATAAGTTCCCTGCAAGAACACCTTCCTCCTCCATGCCCCACTTCACCCCATCCCATACCAGTTCCATCCAGGGTCTGGTTAACCGCCAAGAGCAGGTCCTAGAGTTCCCTTCACCTGCAGAGTCCTTTTCATGACCTAGAAGGTCTTATTCAAAGCCCTCATTGACAGAGGAGGAAACAGGCCAAGGCAGGACATGGCTGGACCATGGTGATACAGCTCTGTGTGATTCAAGTTCTGGCTAGAGCCCAGGTCTGCCGACACCCTGTGCTTGTTGCACACTTGATTTGCTAAGGCTCGAGACAGGCACTGTTGCCATGGGGCTGGTCCTGGTCACTGGCTGAGGAAAAGCCCTTCCCTGCCCCACATTCTAGCCCCACTATGTGGGGGTGCTGTTGTCCCGCCTGTGTCTCATCCCTGGCTGCCTAAGCTAGGGACACTCAAGTGCTTCCTTCCTTGCCCCATCTTCCTCCTAACTGGAAGCCTCTGAGCCTCCCCTGTGCCTTAGGCCCCGGAGCCCCACATGTAGTATAGAGCAAAGGTGGAAGAAAGGGTAGAAAGGTCCTTCAGCCCCAGGGCCATGTCTGGGTTCCCCATGCCCATCAGTCTCGCAGTTTCTCTACCTGGCCCCAGAGCTGAGGCCATCTGCAAGCCCCTACCCATGGCCCAACGGGGAGCCTCCAGCCACCAGTTCCCTGTCCTTGTCAGCCACTGAGTGGTTCCCACTGCATGACCCTCTGTCCCTCCCATCTGTCCCCATGGTTTCCAGCTCAATCCACCCTGACCCACCTGTCAGCCCTCTCCCAGGGAGCTGTTTCAGGGGTTCTGGGCAGTAGGCTGGGCCTGGCCTCAGAACCTGGCAGCTCCCGCCTGCTCCTTCATTTTTGTAAAACCAACCCTGTCACCAGAATGGTATTAACTCCTGGTGCTTTGTACTACTGGTCCAGCTGCCCTGGGCTCCTTTTCTATATTAATAAACAAATGAGTAAAAAAAAAAAAAAATTTACATGTAATTGAAGCGGGCTTACAGGAGTATAAATACAGTTGGCTGCCAGGAGCTCATATGCTGCTGACTCTGGGTGTACTGCCTGTGAGTTAGCCCTGCTCTGCAGGGGCAGTGCCTTTCTAAAAGATTGCTATCTGGCACCACTGGCTCATCCTTGAATTCTGTCCTGGATGAGGCAAGAACCCTTCCAGAGTAAGCCCCAATTTAGGGTCATGCCTGTCCTGAAACAGTATGACTGCACTTTAGTCATAGGTGTGCTATCAGAGAAATGGGAGGAAATCTATAAAACAGGCATGGTCTCAGGTGACAGTCTCATTACCTGAATAACAATGGTACAAATCAGGATTACCTTCATAGGAAATACGTAGATGGAGAATCCACCAATACTAGTAACTCCACATTGGATAGCCAGAGCTAGGAGAAAATACCTCGTACCCTGTAGATTTACAAGTGAGTTTGGGGCCTTGTGCTAGGGAGAATTGGGTTCTATATCTCTACCTTTTACTAGCCATGAGGCCTTCAGCAAGCATAGGGTATAGCAAAAGAAATTCCCCCGTAAGTAACAAGTACTCTGGAACTGTCCTTTCCACAGTGTGTCAGCCGCCTCCAGAAATCTTGCATGGTAAGCATAATCCAAGCCATCAGGACAACTTTTCACCTGGGCAGGAAGTGTTCTACAGCTGTGAGCCCGGCTATGACCTCAGAGGGGCTGTGTCTCTGCACTGCATGCCCCAGGGAGACTGGAACCCTGAAGTCCCCAGATGTGCAGATGCCTTGACTCTCTGGCTTCCAGATTGCTCTGTTTCCCCCTCACATGGAGGTCTTACTCCTGTTGTTTTATTTTTCTTCTAGTGAAATCCTGTGATGACTTCCTGGGCCAACTCCCTCATGGCCGTGTGCTGTTTCCACTCAATCTCCAGCTTGGAGCAAAGGTGTCCTTTGTTTGCGATGAAGGGTGAGTGTGACCCAGAGTTGAGACCAAGGACTCAGTGTGGAGAATCACTCTCCTGAGATCACGGGTTAATCCAAAACAGGAGCCGACCTAGTAGATAAGAAGTACCCAGAGAGATGAATTTATGGAAGGGTAGTTTTGAAATAAGGGTAGGGACTAAGTGGCACCACTTTCAGAAGACAATGAGAAAATGGCACATACAGCTCAATGTCAGGTACAAGCATAAATACAGTCACTGATCTTGTGTACACAGTTGGAACTTGAAATGAATGGGTATGTATTTATTTGGAGGCAAAAGAACATAATTTTATAAAATGTATACTAGAGAAAAAAAGATGAGTAAGACGAAAATTGTTTGCCTCATAATAAGGCAAAGGTTGTTTTAGGAAACTTAAAACCAATCAAAAGTGAAATCTGTAATAGTGTATGGATAAGTATAACCCAATTACATATCTTCATGTCAAGAATGGCCAGTGTAATTGTTTTGATGCAAGATTTTTCTCAGCCACTTTGCCAGCTGGTGACCTCTGACCAGAAACAGCCCTGCCCAGGCCTTGCTCAGCCCAGGATCAACGCAGGAGACACCCCATCTACTCGACCCTCCCAGGCCGTGCCTGGCTTGGGCTCTGATGCAGATCCTGTGGCTGCCACGACTACATGCTCAGCCTCTGGCAGGAGGGGGTGTGTAGTGAGCAAGTGTGGGTTCTGGCTGACTGCGCCAAGCACTGGCACAGGAGCGGGCTCCATGTGGGGATTGCGGCTGAACCAGGCATGTCGCACTGAAGGAAACGTGGTGGTGCCCAAACAGGGGTCCCCACAACCCCAAAGCCAAGAGGGGGTGTTACAGCATGCTAATAGCTCTTAGCATTTGATAATGCCTGCAGCCCAACAGATGGCAGTGTGTTAACAACTCTGTCAGTCCCGTCGCCCGGCTCAGGCCTGCGTCTCCAGGGCTGACTTGACCTGCTGCTGCTTCCTGTTGCATGGAATAGCTGCTCTCCCCTGGGAGAGGGCAAAGGGTCACTGTATTACAGCCTTCTTCGTACCTGCGTTTGGTGGGTCCTGAGTTCTCTTCCTGCAGCCAAGAAAAAGAAGGTTATGCTAAGAATAGAAGGGTGAGGAGGGTGGAGAAGAGTTTGATTGAGTGACGAAACAGCTTCTCAGGGGAGATGAGACACGAGGGTGGACCCCAGATGAAGTCAGGGGGTCATTCTCCCAGTGTGGCTGGTTCTGGGGCTTTTATGGACTCAGAATTGGAAGTGTGTATTAATTTGTTTGTGAGTGTGCAAAAAAGGCTAAAGCAAAGCCACCACTCAAAGGTGGGCACAACAGTGCAAAAAACCAATTATGCAAGAGCAGGTATATGTGAAATAGATGAAGAGTGGGGATCAATCAGAGGAAAGCACACCCAATGGGAAGAGAGGTTCTCAAGCCAGTCCATGGATTTACCTGGAACTTGTAGCGAGGCTTTAAAATGTCTTCAGCTTGAAGGTCGGGTTTCATCGGGATCCGCCCCATCTGCCTAGGATTTGTCTGCCTCCTGCTTCTACCACTGTCAAGTGAGGTATTATTAGTTGTTTATGTGTATCCATTATTCTTGGTACACTATGAGTCTGGGGGGATAACTAGATTGAGCAATTAAGGAGTTATTTTTAATATTTTCCAAGGATTTTTTGGCATTTACAAAGTCCACCACCTAATAATGATTTCCAATTTCAGAACGATTTTAGATTTCAGAAGGGAAGCAGGATTCAATAGTAAGTTAGGCTTTTCAGGGTGGCAAAGACTTTTCCCCCGACCCTTCTTTGTTTGTTAGAGCACGTGGTTCAGCATGCTTCTGTGAGCCTCCTCTGGCCCATTATATTTGGAGTGGCAAGAAAAACAATGGCTGTTCTCTTTCCAGATGTTCCTGGCTTTGCTTACCAAATCGAGAGTTGTTCTGCCTCATGACCCACTAATGAGAATAAGTGGGATGTCAGAGAGCCATCAGTGAAATATGACACCTGAAGGTTATGGCTCTTGTGCCCATGGAGAAGTCTGGTTCTGTGTTCGTGCCTTCCGTAGATGATGCTGGGCTATGAAGTTTACATGGCACATCAGCTCTAATTGCTTTGCCAGTCACAGGGTACCATGGTTCTTTAGAATAAGTTGGCCTTTGAGTTTCTGCCAGCTACTGAAGAATTCAGATCCCTAATGAATTTAGACTTTTAGCTGGGCCGGAACCTAAGAACCAAATGATAGTCAAAGAGGAAATGGTAGTGAGGAAGCTGAGCATCTATTAGTGAAGAAATCAAGGGAGAGATGGGAATTGCTCACACATTTGCTACCACTTTTTTTTTCTTTAGGTTCCGATTAAAAGGCAGGTCTGCTAGTCATTGTGTCTTGGCTGGAATGAAAGCCCTTTGGAATAGCAGTGTTCCAGTGTGTGAACGTGAGTAGAAAGAACTATGTAGTTTGGATAACTCTCCTTATTTTTGTTTTCCAGTGTGTTTACTGCATGGAATCACTTGTTGTATGGATCTTAACTAAATTTCGGATAAAAATACTTCTTTGTTGGAAGAATTTCAAGAAGCATCTTGTAGGACTTCTCTGACATTTGTTACTAATCTGTAAATCACTTAGTTTAATGACAGTGTTTAATGTTGTGTGGAATGTGTGGCAAGAAACTAGATGACATAAAGGTGCAGCACGTTTTAGTTAGTAATTTATTTTTAGTTTTCTTATAAGGAGTAATCTTTCTTAATTTTTTTTTTTCTTTTTTGAGATAGTTACCTAGGACAGACTGCAGTGGTGCAATCACAGCTCACTGCAGTTTCAATGGCCTGGGCTCTAGTGACCCTCCCACTTCAGCCTCCCAGTAGTTGGGACTACAGTTGCATGCCACCACACCTGGCTAATTTTTTATTTTTTGTAGAGATGGAGTCTTGCCATATTGCCCAGGCTGGTCTCAAACTCCTGGGCTCAAGCTATCCTCCCACCTTGGCCTCCGAAAGTGTTAGGATTACAAGTGTGAGCCACCATGCCCAGCCAAATTTTTATGTTCTTTTATCCCCTCACATATCATAAACAGTTCAGTCAGCTTGTTTTTTAGCCGGCAGTATTTAATGACATAGGGCTTCCCATGTGCTAGGACTTTCCGTGTGTAGAAAAAGCAATGAAGAGTAAAAGAATAGTGAAGACACCTCCCTACTTTCCTGGAGTGTATTTTCTTGTTGGGAAGCAGACTAAGAATGATAAAATAAGTAATCAAAATTCTAAAAATTGTAATATATAAAATGATAGTTAAATAGGAATGTTATGGAGAAAATAAAACAGAGTTACATGGTAAATTAGTACAGGGGAAGGAGCTGGGATGATGAATCAGTGTCTGAAATGATG